ATTTTATAGTTCGTCTTTCAGAGAGGAGCACTTTTGGGTCACACTATAGCCTGGATAGTATTTAATGAGGCACCACACACATGGATGGTTCACTGAACAGGCCTACTAGGCAAAAAGCTAAGAGTTCCAAAGTGTTAGGGGCACCTAGGCCTTCCCCTACAAAATATCACTCAAAAAGAGATGTAGCAACCAGGAAGAAACTCAATATGGCGACAAAGAAACATAAAACAACCACAAAGAGATACAAAAAAGCTGCAAAGAGCCACACAAAGAGACAGCGACTACGAAAAGAAGGGAAAATATTCACAAAGAAACACAAATTGACTACCAAAAAGTGACACTAAATATGACCACAAATATGAACGCAACCACAGGGACTAAAAATGACTATGTGAAGAAGGCAACTGAAGCTGCATTAATATTAAAAAACACAACACAACTACAAAAAGGGGCAAAACAAGCAAAGAGACAGTTAATATCTATAAATACCAAAAAGGGAGATGTGTAGAGACTACAAAAAGACACAACATATACAAGAAGACAACAACAATAACGTAAAGAGGCTAACCAGCACATTGTAACATCCTCTAGCATTTCTGTTATGTTCTTCTTGCACTATTTTTAATTGTTTATGTCCTATATGTATTTATGTTGCATTGTTGAAGGAGCCTGGGATTTAACATGTTCATTGCCAAAACTGTAGCTACTGTGCATTTGACAATAAAACCTTTGAATCTTTGAATCTTGAATCCAAACAGCTATAAGGTATTTATATTGTCTTTCTCCCATGAAGGTGGCGGGGCCTTAAATGTGTCTACGCCCAGGGGCCCATTATCTGATCACCCGCCTATGACCACACATAGTGAATCGAAACCTTATCAACTGTCATTGAGACCACAAAACATATATTTTACGTCTCAATAGGGAGATATAAAACCAAATGTCCCCATAAGCTCAGTGTTGAGATGTGAATGTATCTTATTAGACTGTGTACTCACTCCTGGCACATTTAGTGAAGTGCTGCTATCGTTGGTTCCTTTTTAAACCCTTCAGCCCTCTTGAATTGTTGCAGGAACAATGGGGCAGATCTGGATCTGACAGGCAGTCTCTTCAGCCCGACCCTCCGCACCGGGCCGTCAGCTGCAGGAGGGATGCTGCTGGCAGCCTGCAGAAGGTCCTGACAGCATCCCCCCCCACCCCCCCCCTCAGAAACCCCAACAAACACTCGGTGTGCTGCAGAGACAATGTGTTTACTATAATCTGTAAAACAAATACAAAGTGGCTCATGGGTCTTCAGATAACTTAAATGGGACTGGATCTTTGATTATGTGTTATTTCTCTACATTAAGAAACATTAAGGCTGATTACTATGTTTTCACATTCCAAAATATGACATTTTAAACATTTTCCCCCAATACAATATTTGATTTATTATAGCATAGTGCCTTTTAGTTTTGTATTCTCTTTTGCTGCTTTGATTTATTTTTCTCTAATTTAAACTGCATAGAGAGAAGTCAGCAAATCTCATTGTACATGAGTATAACGACAATAAAGGTCTGCTGATTATATACATTCTATTTTTATGTTGTGGTTAAACCAAGCACCAGAGCTCACACATAATATTACACTTTAATTTGAATTCAGGCATAATCCTTTCTACCTGCTATTATTCAATAGAAATACAATCTAAACGCTTAACGCCACAGATCTGCTACTTTTCAAGTAGAATCTATTCCAGACACTAGCCAAATAAATCCCCAACAGCTTTTAAAGGACATCCGGGATCACGAATGTAAAGAAAGTGAACTTGATGACTCGTTAATAAGAAATCAGTCATTCTAAACACAACGCAAACACTCACCCTTCCCGCCTAATTTACACTCCAAACAGGTTTGTATTGACTCTTGGCAGAGTTAAACCCAGATGCCGGGCGGGATAACAATGCTCTCATTATTAATCAGGATGTTGTCCTTTCTCATTTCTCCTGCGAGTCAGTGTAATGGGTTAATTGAACTGTAGGATGGAAAGGGGTTAAAGCAACACTGGAACTATATAGGTTCATTAGCTGGTGTAAGTCGATACTAAAGAAAATAGCAGCAACTTTGATGTGTTTTCCTGAAACAAATACTGAGGTCCCTGCTGGGAAATCAAAACTCACCGAAGAAGAATGCAGATCTGAGGCGTTTATGTGTTCCTTAAAAATAAAAAAACGTGTCTGTGCGTCAACTGCAAGAACACAGTCATACTGGGAAAGGTGGAATGTAGTAAAGTGCTCAAGTTTTTTATTAAAGTACAATAATGAGGTGTACTTATGCTGTATTTTCATGTTATGCTACTTTATACTTCTACTTTACTACATTTTAGAAGACAATGTTGTCATTTGTATTCCACGACTTTAACTGACAGTTTTAGTTACTTTACAGATTTAGATTAGCGTATAGAAAGTAAATAGAATTACAAGCTGTGACAGACACATATATGCATCACTATAATCCAGTAAAATAACATTGTTGTGAAACGGGACATTACACATGATGATGAGTAGTTTTACTGTTGATACTTTAAGTATATTTTAAAGCCGATACTTGATTACTTTTACTTGAATAAGATTTTGAATGCAGGACTTTTACCTCAGTACGTGTTTGTACGTCAACTTTAAAAACACATTGATACTGGGAAGTGTTGAAATGTAGTGAAGTAGCCTATTAACTCAAAAGTTCTAGTACAATTGTGAGGTATTTGTACTTAAGCTGAATATTTTTATTTTAGGCTACTTTATACTTCTACTCCACAACATTTTCCCAGCGAATATTGTACTTTATTCATTTCATTTTTTACAAAATAATCTAATAAATCAACAGTGACATAAATGTAAGGTCAAGATATCCACGAGCAGTAGCTATAAAAAGTAAATAAAATGATCCACCAGCTGTGATAAGTATAGATGAATCAATAAGTGAAATCATATATGAGATTCTGAAATGGGTGGATTTAGCACTCCGATCCTGTACTTAAGCAAAATACATATTATGGTCTTAAAATACTTGATTACAAGTAAACATCCCAAATTCTAAATGGTAATTAGGTCAAGTTAAAAAAGTATTTGCATCAAAATGCATTTGAAATATAAAAAGGAAAAGTACTCATTCTGCATATTGGCCCATTTCAGTCACATAAAGTAGTGAGGTATTATCAACTAAAAGTACTACAAGTATCAAAAGTAAAAGTATGCAGAATAGCTATTTCATTATTAAATAATATAATATTATCCTGTTTTCATATTTAGGTTTAGGTTGTCAATGTGGAGTCAATTTTAGAGACTTTTTATAATACATAGTAGTGCATCATGTGAGCAAACAGAGGAGGGAGAAGTACTCAGATCATGTACTTGAGTAAAAGTAGAAGTACTAGAGTGTAGGAATACTCTGTTACAAGTAAAATTCCTGCATTCAAAAGGTTACTCAAGTAAAAGTATAAAAGTATTAGTATAAAAATAAACTTAAATTACTAAAAGTAAAAGTAGTCATCTGCAGATTGGTCCCATTTCAGAATAATATATATGATATGTTTTATAATTATTGATCATTAAAGTGTTATCAAAGCTGGTAAAGTAACTAAAGGTATTAAATACATGTAGTGGAGTTAAAGTACACGAGTATCCTTTGAATTGTAGTGGGGTAGAAGTACAAAGTAGCAAAACATGTATCTCAAAATTGTACTATTGTCAGGTTCTTGAGTAAATGTACTTAGTTACTTTACACCTCTGTGAGCAAATCATATGTTTTTATATATTAAAAGCAATTAGTAACTGAGTGTAAAACAAATGTAGTGGTGTAACAAGTACAACATTTGCCTATGGAATGTAGTGAAGTAGAAGTACAAAGTACTGTAGCATAAAATGGAAGGCACATCAAATTATGTCAAAAATTAAGTACGATACTTCTTATAATGTTCTTAGTTATACATTCCACCACAATTACACATGACGAGTACTACTTTTGATACTTTGAGTATATTTTAAAGCCAATACATACTAGTGTACTTGTACTTGAATTATCTTGAATGCAGGACTTTAACTTGTAACAAAGTATTGCTACTTTTACTTAAGTATAACATTTGAGTACTTCTTTCACTGCTGATACTGGGTATTTGACAATTATTTATGAGGAATACATTATTCTAACTCCTTTAAACCTGAATACACTTTAAGGTCAAGTATAAGATATGATCAGAATGCCAGGGAAGGTGCCATATGGGACTTTTTATGTAAATATAAGAGAAAATGTATTCCACAGCCACGTTGATTATTATCTGGCTTGTGTAATACTTTATAATAAAAAATGCTTTCTCTATAACATATGAGGGTGTTTGGTGACACCACAAACTGTCAGTAAGGCGCTTCACCTGTCTCAGTGATAATGTTGGTGAATCAGCTGCCACCTCTTAAAAAAGATCAGCGAAAGGATCGTGCCGCCTGTGTTTACTCCAACAAACAGTCCCCCCTTTTAAATTAGCATCGTAAAGGACTTCGCCAAATCAAAACCACGTGTTAGCAAACATACAGCCTTCTTAAATTAAAGTTCATCCACATGCTGTCCTCCATTCAACCTCGGAACGAGCTGGCTTATTTGATTAAACCCCGTGCGTAATTACAGTGTGCGTCCTCTCCATGGTTTGCCATTTACTCAGTCATATCATTTGCACAGAAGCGCATTAAATGTGGCAACTAGACCCAGAATGATGTGGGGCGAGCTGTGGCGATCCTGCTGGAATATGCTGCATCCTGCATTGTGGTATCAGTGTGCAAGAAATGTCTAGACCAGAATAAACCCAAAGGCAAAACATAAGATAACACTCATTTCCCATTAAATCTCGTTACATTTCCCACAAACAAAGGATGCTCATGTGTTCCTGACAGTAGTGTTTGTTGTCAGCTGAGCTTTAATAGATAAAACAGTCCCATTCAGAGGCCACCGGGTTTGCAGTGGCCTGCTGCGCCATAATGCTCGGCACAAGCCCTCCACTATATACGGAGTGTTTTTTGTCAATATTAGCGGGCCTACTTGAGGGGAAGTTTATAATTGGACACGTGTTTTCCCCGCTTTTTTGTCGTTTGGAGATCAACTGATTCTTTTGTAATGCGTTTTTAAAGCAATGAACGATCCACAAGGAGGGGTAAAGTGTTCTTAAGAGCTCCCTTTCAGCCTTTAGAATTGGCCAGAGCAACCCGCCGAGAAACATGGAGGCCCTGGAAGTATTTAATCCGGGAGATGTGCCCATGTGGGTGTCACACGGCAGAGATTCAGGCACATGCAGGTAGACAGTATCGAGAATCTGCTGTGTGCCTTCAGAGACTGGGAAAGATCGTATCATTTTAAATATGGAGGACGTGCTTTTTGACTTGGATCAGGATGGCACTACTGATTATGCATTTTGGGGACAAATGGACCAAAACTTCCAGTTCCAGAGCCAGCTGGACACCTTCCTGCTGGACTACAACTCCGCCGGCCAGCTCTCACCCTGGCCCAACTTCGGCAGTCAGTCCATGTTCCCGGACGCACAGCTGACCTTAACCGACCTCGACGCGCAGTCTCCGGGGGAAGACGCGTGCGCTGAAGGGGAAACGTCCTCCATGGACGACCCCCTGGAGGTGACCAAGCACAGGGCGCGGCGCCTCTCTTCTCACCCGCCCTATAAGGTGCAGCGGCACGCGGCCAACATCCGCGAGAGGAAGAGGATGCTGAGCATCAACTCCGCCTTCGAGGAGCTGCGCTGCCACGTGCCCACCTTCCCCTACGAGAAGCGGCTTTCCAAGATAGACACCCTGAGGCTCGCCATCGCCTACATCGCCCTGCTGAGGGAGATCCTCGTGTCGGGCTGCGACCCCAAGTCCTACGTAGACGACTGCATGAAGAGCGGCTACAAGAATCACACCAACGCCATCTGGAACACAAGCGGTGAGCTGATGCCCTTCATTACAGCCCATAATAAAACTATCATTAGCTCATGATGGAGATGTAAGGTGCAGACATGATCAGAGTAATGTTAAGCCTGACTTCAGACCATTTAAATGTGCTGACAGGACTCAGAGCATTATCTGCCTTTTATTTTAATATGGTAATTCATACAGGTTATTGCAGAATGTTTGGAAATTGTTTCAAGAGTTTCTTCACTCTCCAGAATATTGTCGTTTAGGCCTACCATATATATTTAAAGAAAAACGTTATTTTTTGTAACTAATTATGTCCGGAGAAATAAGACAGAATTATAAGATTAAAGTCAGAATTCTGAGAAAGAAAAGCCATGATTCTGACTAAAATCTCAGAAATCAGAATTTTCTTTTTCTTTCACTTTTGGTCAGATCTCCAAAATAAATCACATGTTGCCCTAATCTTCTTTCATACACTTTCAATTTATCCCACACATTAACAAAAGTCCTCTAACAAACACACATAACATACCTGATATTTAAAGCCAAATATAACTTAACATCAATATGACAGAGGACATGATTAAAGTATTTCTGATTCTGACATAATCACATACAGCAAATAGCTCCATGTACACCATGGACACAGAGACAAGTGCTTAGTTCACCCTTAGTCTTTCATTGAGAAATAATGTTCATCCAGAACAATAAGAAATTGTTGTTTTTCACAGTTATTGACTTGAAGCAGCTTGCTGTGTGTTTGCTGCTTCCTTTAATCCCCAGGTGTGTTTTCCTCGGGCATCAACCTCATTTGACAGAAACACAATCATCAGTATTCTTACTAGCTCCATGCCATTAACTAATTCTGTGGGAATCTGCTCTGAAGCCTCATTATGAGAGTGAGTGTGTCCCCATTCTCTACCTCCAGCCCTAGGACTTGTTAAACAGTCATTAAAATGTAACTAAACTTATGTCCTGTTTTTGTCTCCATCTCTCAGACCTGACAGCCCGCCTCTCTTGGATAAAGTGGGATTAACTGAGGAACATGGGGGCGCCCTGAGAGGGGAGATGGCAGCGGGGGGAGGTTCAGATTGGTTTCTCTGTCCCTCTCTGTCTAGATGTCAAAGAAAGGCGTTCGTCCCGCATGACCGACATCTGCAGACTTCTCATCGGGTCACACACCTCAGGCTTTTCTAAAACCTCACCCCCCGTCCTCCGTGGCTTTTAATATTCTAATTTATTGTTGACTGGTTAATTGAGAGCCATTGTTTCTGAGGCCAGGGGGGGGGGGGGGAAGAGGGTGGGCATTGTTTGCCCAAATAGATGGCACTTGTTCCAGAGGGAGAGGGGCACACTGGCACAAGGCTGAATGGACTTCCTGAGGGCTCATACTTCTGCATGAAGCAACTGAAGTGTTTTCTGGACTCGCGCTCATTAGTGTGCGAGGCAATGTGTTAAAAAGAGCCTTGATCATGTAAATGAGACAATGGGCGTGAGAAGCAGATCAGCGCGATGTGTTTTAGCATGTCAGGTGCAAACATGGCAATAAGGCTAGTAGTGTTTCATGTGAAAACTCTAAAATCTCTTGTTTTATTTATTTATTTATGTATTCCTTATTTTGTGTATTTATGACAAAATACTTTTTCGGACATGTATTTTTTAACATATGTTGATTATTTAATTTCTTTTTATTGTGAGTTATTGTACATTTTAAGCTATTTCATACTATGTAAAAGTGTATTTATTTCTTAAATGAATCAGCACAGAAAAGTTGATGTGGTAATTGAATGTATTTGTGATCAATGATCATTTCTCAGGATCATAAAAAGCAATTTTTCTCCACTTTGGTTTTCTATCTTTTTGAATTAAGGATTGTATATGTTTCAGGGGTTAGTCAAGCACTTACATGTCATCTCTCTCTGTCCCTGATTTCTCTTCCTGTTAGTATTATGGATGAATCAAAAATGACACTTTGGATGAATATTTGTATTCATACCAGGGTCTTAGTTACAAAATATCCAGGTGTCATTCCTCAGAGGGAGCTGAAACTACTGCTGCACTATAACGGCATGACGGATCAACTGCTGGCTGAAGTCTATTGCTTATTATTTAAGCTCCACAAAGGCAACCCTTAGCTAAAAAAAGTAGATTTACATTTAAAACACAGCCTATGGGGAATATAGAGATGGTTTAAAAATGATGTAATGGTAAATGAAATCTGGATGAGATTGCAAACCCTTTTTTTTCATAAAGCTACATGTAAAACAAGACTTATAGTGTCCCCCTGTGTTTGTGCTTTATCATGGCTCACTGCTCTAACAGGTGTCACAGGTGTTGTTATCACTTCTTAATACTGTGCACCTGTTTTATGTAAGAAACAGGTTGTGCCGAACAACATAATAAAAGTATAATTTAGCATAGGATGTAGACCTCAAATAATATTCTTCAAGTATTTTCAATTGTAGCAATCAACTAATTGAAAGAGAACTCTGTGGCACTGTGGCTCTCAGTGACCCCTGGGTCCCCCTGGTGGAACTAGTTGGGTGAAAATTAATAGCTTTATGAGCTGGGCTTCACAATGAATGCTTCATTAACTGTTGTCTAATATTATTTAAGATCTGTGATTTAGGGATTAATATATGCAGGTGGCACATGTGGCACACACATAGTTGAAAAATAAACCACTTATTGCTACATTTAAAACTCACAAACAAGTACAAAAAAGTACGGAGCTCTGGAGGGTTCATAGAGAGAAAGATAAATGCCACGTTTTATTAATTTGTGCGCACGAGATGTAATTCGTGGCCTCAATTTAAATAAAACGAGGCCACGCTTTATTAATTCGTTCGCACGAGATACTTTCTCGTGTGCACGAGATACCTTTTCGTGCGCACAAGATACTTTCTCGTTCGCACGAGAAAGTTACTGGTGCACCAAGTAGGAAGTGGAGCGCACAGGAGACAACCGTTTCATTGCAGACTGTTATGTTTATGTGGGGAAATGACAGTGCATACATTATTTGAGATATATTTAAAACTCGGACTTCATTTTAGGGACATTTCTATGGGCTCAGAACAGTCTCATAATACACGCATGCACACAGAAGGATTCACACTTGTATTTCATGATCCACAAAAGGATTCACACTTGTATTTCCGGATCCACACTTGTGTTTTTCAATGCACACACAAATGTGTTCCGTTTCATATACATGTAAATAAAATCCAAATACAGAAAAAAGTTTTACATATGTATTTTTGATCCTCACATATTTGTTTTCCGTTTAAATCCCCTGAACCTGCAAACACAAACCGCTTTCTGTGCATGGATTGCTCTGCATTCGTGTGTGGGTTTTTTGAGACTCCCCTGACGGTCACCCGATTCGTACTTGTAATTTTTTCTATCTATAGCCAATCAGATGTCTCCTCAATTCTAAGCCAATCACATGAGCGCGCCCCCACGAGGGTAGATTTCTTGCGTTCATGTCACTTCATATACGCATTTTGCGTAGTCCGGAGCAGGGTTTCCGCGGACAGAATTTAATTTTACCGGACAAATTTGAAACTTACCGGTCATGTTTCAATAATAATAATAATAAGAATTGTGTAGCAGCGTTTCCGTTAGGTAATTACCGGACTATGACCGGATAATAACACGGGAGTAAGGATCATCTCTTTTCCTCTCTCCCTCCCTCTCTCCTGACAGCCCGTCAGTTTCTCATGCAGCTCGCTAAAACTTCACTCGCGTTTATGTCCATATCGATCAGATCCAGCTCTCCTGATCGGCCTTTATAGAGAGCACCGATCAAACTATTAAGAGTGAATATCGGCCGATAATGACCGGCGGGGCTCCCCCCGTTGACAGTTCACTGTCTAGCACTGGCTTCGTAGTGCACTGATCGATTAGGCTAAGCTAACCTGTAGCTGCTCCCTCCACACTCACAACAACTTCATACAGACATAAATAAAGCAGCTGATCGCCATACAGGAAACACACATTTAAAACAGTTTTGCCTGCCGTTTTTGTGTACACAAGCATTCATTAATGGTTCGGAAAGTGGCACTGTACCTTAATAATATAAAGGCTTGTATTTGCGTGCATTTCCTGATCGGAAAGTGGTAATGTACTGAGAGTGGAGGTGTCCTGAGATTAGCGCCTGCAGGCAGGCTCCATGGACCTGTCAGCTCCGGACAGCGCAAAATGCGTACATGAAGCGCTACGTCATGAACGCAAGAAATCTACCCTTGTGGGGGCGCGCTCATGTGATTGGCTTAGAATTGAGGAGACATCTGATTGGCTATAGATAGAAAAAATTACAAGTACGAATCGGGTCACCGTCAGGGGAGTCTCAAAAAACCCACACACGAATGCAGAGCGATCCATGCACAGAAAGCGGTTTGTGTTTGCAGGTGCAGCGGTTTTAAACGGAAAACAAATATGTGAGGATCAAAAATACATATGTAAAACTTTTTTCTGTATTTGGATTTTATTTACATGTATATGAAACGGAACACATTTGTGTGTGCATTGAAAAACACAAGTGTGGATCCGGAAATACAAGTGTGAATCCTTTTGCGGATCATGAAATACAAGTGTGAATCCTTCTGTGTGCATGTGTGTATTATGAGACTGTTCTGAGCCCATACATTTCGGCCAGAGGTGTAGAGCTATTTGTTTAAGCACCGGATTCGCAAAACAGGAGAGTCTGTGAACCAGTCTGTCTTGATCTATGAATTCATGTCCGTGACTCTCACAGTATGTGCTATCTGCGTTTTAGATGTCCGGTCACCAGGGCGCATGATGTGTAAATAACCCAATTTGTGTTCTGTGAAACTGAAAAGGATATGACATTGTTTTTGTTACTTTCGTTGCAGTTGTATGTCTTAAATGTCATTTAGGTTAACTTCCTGTTTTATTTAGATGCTTTTATTTTGAAGGCGAGTTTACGCTGTTGACAGGAAGTTGTTGTTGCTATGGAAACGTGAAATGCTACGTGTGTGTGTGTGTGTATGACATTTCACTCATTCCATATAAATATTAATAAAATATGAACTAAAATTAGTACTTATTCATGCTTTTAAAAATGTAGTTAAGCATTACTGGCTTAATGATAGCAGTCCTCTGTACAGTATTTAAGAGAAAGAAGTAAAAACAAACATCAAGTATGCAATGATTTGTTTATTATTATTATTATTTTTAAATAATATTAATACAACTCTGCAAACTCTTTTGAAAATAAGGTTTAAAGCTCCAGAGCCAGGTTTTTCTGATCAAATTACATAATTGTCCATTTATTTACTTTATCTTTTAATGTATTCAAGAAACCAACCACATGATACAGTATGGAAATTCAACGTCACCTGACCCCATGAAGTATTTTCTAGCCATCACTGTGAGATCGTGCCCAGTGGAGAAACAGCTCTGAATACCATTGAGATGAGATATGATTCAGCAGAGCGGAACATTTTGCGGGCCAGAATGAGTAACACTCCTGCAGTCTGTGCTCTGCATCAGGATCCTTCAGTTTATTGATTTAACATCAACTGACAAACACTGTGAGGCTGTCCTGCCATCGGCCGGCAGGTGTGTTTATCATGTTGGTGAAATTGTGGAGTCTGGGCCTCGCACTTGTAAATATAATTAGTGCATCACATCCTGTTGGGAGTACATGGGTCTGGATGGAGGATATCTGAAACAGCCTTGTGCAAAGGTCAGAAAGCAGTCAAATTGAAAACTTTGTGGCAAAAAGTTGATATACAAATCCATGTTAAATCATGTAGTGTCCTTTAAAATTGCTTATTTACTTACCACTTACATTTACTTATGGAAAATGGTGAAAGGTTGTTCTTCTGGGTGAGCCAATAGACAGTGTTTCAAATGGAAAATATTGCTTCTGTATCACGTGTACCCAGGACAGCGAGAGACACATCTCACCCTAACAGCAACATGGAACAACTCTAAGTCTATTTGAGGATGTGAAGTTTAACTTCAACAATCCTAAATCCTTCAATGTACAAGGGATGCCAACTTAAGACCGGGTGTGAAGGGCTCTTGATGATCAATGATATACCCTTTAACCCTTCTATTGTCTTCGTTCCCCCCCCCCCCCCTTACTTTAGTGTTCGCGGTCAAATTTGACCGGTCCTGTTTTAACTGCTATTACATTAACACAAAAACCATTAATCATCACCAAATTTCATTTAACACCCTTTCAAACTGTACATATTGTATCAGACTACTGGTATACATGAAAAACTGCAGTAAATATACAAAGAACAGACACTGAACATGTATTGCGTGTGCCAGGTGTGATCCATGTGGGGGGATGGGCACATAAGAGCGGGAAATGTGTGAAATTGTTCTGTGTGTGTGTTTGTGTGTGCCAGGTGTGATTCACATGGGGGGATTGGGCACATAAGGGGGGAACACATTTAGAGTATGTGTGTGTGTGTGTGTGTGTGTGTGTGTGTGTGTGTGTGTGTGTGTGTGTGTGTGTGTGTGTGTGTGTGTGTGTGTGTGTGTGTGTGTGTGTGTGTGGGTGTGGGTGTTTGTGTGTATGTTTTATCTGATCCGGATGGTTACTAATTCCTTTTCTTTATGGCGGTCATTTTGGACCGGGAACACCATGGGTGTTACAAAGTTGACAAAGTAAAGACCCCCTTTACACGAGAACGAAACGGCTTGTATCTGCATAGTTTCTCTTGCGTATAGCCCTATTATTTACACGAGGCCGTAACAAAACGATAGAAACGGACCCCACAAACGATAACGGGTCCCAAGGTGGATAGATTTGCAAACGAAACGCTATGGGGGGTCAAACGGCTCCGTGTAATCGCCTCTATACGATCATTTCCTGATTAAATAACGATAGCCCCACCTCTCCCCGCCTCTGCTGCTCACTGCTGTAGCATGGCCAGTAGCTACTGTCAGTAGCTACTGCTAGTGCTACTGCTACTGACCATGCTACAGATGTTAGTACAACATCTACAGCTCGACCATGCTACAGATGTTAGTGCAAAATCTACAGCTCCTCTACCATAACCATCAGCAACAAGTGGACATGGAGAATTACATGAACTACTACATGTTGCTAAATCCACCACAAAACATAAACAGAAGGGTAGCCATGGCAACCATGCTCCGGGGTCTTCTTCGCTGCTTTTGGTGTATTTTGTGGCGGAAGTTACAGCGCCACTTACAGTCCCGGCATATGTACTACAGCGTGTCCAGCGCTTTCGAGCGGTCTCGTGTGGAAGTACAGCGCCACTTACAGTCCCGGCATATACTACAGCGTTTCCAGCGGCCTCGTGTGAACAGACACGTTAAATTAAATGAATGCATGTGAACGGAAGACCTTTTTGAAAACGCATACTGTGCATAAACGCAAACGTTCCTGTGTAAAGGCAGCCTAAATCCTCCAAAATTCAATGAAAGTGGTGATCAGCAATTTTATATGTTCAAATGTCTAATGTGAAGGATATGATAAAGCCTTAATGCAATCGAATGTAAAACAAAAAAGTTATGATTGATGAAAGTAGTAAATCGGTCAGATTTGACCCGAAGAAAAGGAGGGTTAAGTTTCTCTTCCCAAAACTAAAACTCTCAAGATGTTGCATTTTGAATATAGAACATCCATACTTCCATCGAAAAACATAACGCACTATAATAACCCACATAATCGTGAGTCAGGGTGAAATGGTACAAAAGGCAAGAAATCAAATGTAGGGAGGAGGTCATGTTGGAAGGGTCGGCCCAAAATTACCCAGGAAACAGCTGTTTCAGTCCCGTGTGAAACCAGAAGTCAACATTGACTTATTTGTTTCGTATCTTCGTAAACTTAACGAACTAATCTTCAAAGCATATTCTAACCCACACCACTATCTTTACTTAAACCTAGCCAGGTAGTTGTGTTGTCTAAACAGCTTCTGCACTGCAAGGTCCTCCTGTAGCTGGAATTTGGTAGAATACACAAAAAAAAAAAAAAAGAATCATGCGAACACACAAGTATCAGGGTATGTTGCAAACAATATTTTGACAGTACTTTACA